GATCAGAAACAATAGAAGATGGAAGGCCATGTAATCGATATACCTCACGAAAGAATAATTGTGCAACATGTACAGCATCAGTCGTCCTCTTGCAGGGAATGAAATGAACCATCTTCGAAAAACGGTCGACCACTACGAAAATAGAGTCGTTACCTCGCCGAGTACGAGGTAGCCCGAGAACAAAATCCATGCTTATGGCGACCCATGGCTGCGAAGGAATCGGCAAGGGACGGTACAACCCGACATTTGAAGCCACACCTTTAGACACATGGCACACACGACAACGCTCAACAAAGCGGTCACATCTCGGCGCAAAGAAGGCCAAAAGAACGACCGGCGCACAAGGGCAATTGACCGATCACGTCCCACATGGCCCGAACCGTGAATATCCGCAATAAGCTTTAAACGAAGGCTGCAATCGGGGACGCACAAGCACACTCCACGAAAGACAAACCCATCAGCGAGTGTATAGTCATCAACAGGGCCCAATTGAAGACGAGAAAAGAGAGGCCCGAAAAAAGGATCGGTGGAATAAATATCACGTAAAACATCAAAACCCACCACAGATACGCGCATGTCTGTTAACAAAGCGGCCCGACGGCTCAGTGCATCCGCCACTCGATTATAGATCCTCGAGCGGTGCCGTAGGACAAAGGTAAATTGTTGTAAATAGGAGGACCATGTCGCATGACGTGCTGAAATGTTATCCTGAGATGATAGGTGGCGTAAAGAGTCATGATCGGAATATAGAACGAACTCCTTCTGAAATAGATAATGGCTCCAGTAACGGACAGCCCAAAACACCGCATAAAATTCGACGTCATATGTATTGTAACGAAGACGAGGTCCGGACAATTTTTCACTAAAGAATGCCACATGTCGACCATCCTGGCTTAGAACAGCTCCAATCGCGACTTTGGAAGCATCACAAGAGAGTTCAAACGGGCGAGAAAAATCTGGAAGAACCAAAATAGAAGTCGTGGTTAGCTTGTCCTTGATAAGAGCGAACGCCTCGGCAGCCTGAGGAGTCCACGTGAAAGTCGTACCCGTCAGATAATCCGTGATTGGTGCAGTGATCGAACTGAAGTGATGAATAAACCTCCGGTAAAAGGAAGCGAGGCCGTGAAAACTGCGAGCCTCCGTAAACGACTTCGGCGTCGGCCAGTCACGTATATCGGTGACCTTGCTCTCATCCACACGTATACCCTCGGCCGAAATAATGAACCCCAAGAAGAGAACCGATGGAACTATGAAGAAGCACTTACGTGGAGCCGCATAGAAAGATTCAGATGCAAAATGAGAAGGACAGACCTCACATGACTTAGGTGCTCCTCCAGTGTACGACTGTAAATGAGGATGTCGTCGAAATAAACAACGACACACCGACCAATGAGATCACGTAGTGCTTGGTTCATTACCCGCATGAAGGTGCTGGGTGCATTTGATAGCCCAAAGGGCATAACCAACCACTCGAAAAGACCCTCCCTAATCTTGAAAGCCGTCTTCCATTCATTGCCTGGTCGAATGCGAATTTGATGATAGCCACTCCGAAGATCAAGTTTGGTAAATATGGAAGCACCATGTAACTGATCCAATAAATCGTCCAGACGCGGAATAGGAAACTGATAACGCACAGTAATCTTGTTGATGGCCCTGCTATCCACACACATCCGCCACGACTGATCTTTCTTCGGAATAAGCAATGCCGGAACGGCACACGGACTTAGACTCCACCGAACCGCCCCACACTCCAAAAGGGACTCCACCTGATGTCTCAATTCCTCATGTTCTGCCGGGCTCATTCTGTAATGCGGGCGGTTAGATAAGGAAGCCCCCGGGTCTAGGTCAATCTGGTGTTGGATGTCACGAAGTGGGGGAAGACCTGGTGGTAGATCCTCAGGAAACATATCAACAAACTCGTCAAGTAGCGGCTGAATTGCCGCCGGTGTGGTCTGTTCGGTCCCAACTTCAGCCCCTACGAGAAGTAAGACAAACGGTGCCTCGCGCATCTCATCTTGAAACTCAGCACGAGAAACTAACAAAATTGGAGAAGGCCCGGTATTGGTCAACTCTCGAGGAGGAGACGAATGAAGAACCATACGAACACCGTCAAACAGAAAGCTGTACGTGTTGAGTCGCCCGTCATGAACCGCCGACCGATCAAACTGCCATGGACGTCCCAAGAGAAGATGGCACGCGTCCATGGGCACCACGTCACACCATGTTGTATCCCGATATTTTGGCCCAATAGAAAAAGTCACAACACCCTCCGGTCGACCGTAACTGAATTGTCTCGCTGGATCCAGGCCAAGGTATAAGGTCGCGGGTGTGGTTCAGTCGACAAACAAAGGCGCTCAACGGCATCTTGAGCCACAACATTCTCACATGCACCCGAGTCAATGATGAACCGACACACGCGACCACCCACCGTACAAGTAGATTCAAAAATCCGTTGCCGTTGGAGAGAGTCCTCGTTTGAAGCCCGAGGAGATAAATAAGTTCGTCGTAGAACCAGTGCATGACCCACATCCCCACACAAATGTTCCTCTGAAGGTTCTGGTATGTCATCATAAATAGGTAATGAGTCGTATACAATCCATCAACTCCCTCCGAAGGCACGTCCGTCAAAAGTGACCTCGAACCACCACGCTTTGGGCATGCCGCCTGTCTGTGACCTGCTTCCCCGCATGCAAAACAGCGGATGCCGTTTCTTGGTCGTGAGCCCGCTGCTACCACTGTGGAGCCAAAAGGGGTCGGCGATCCCGCGACAGCCCCCGGAGTCACGCCACTATGCCCCGCCACG